TTTATGTGAGGCGATAGAAACATGCAGAAGAAACATCAAGAGTCATCTGAAGTTTTATGACTGCTTTGATTCATTTTTGAAAACGGACGGAGATCTTCTTCTCGCCAGGGCAGGCAACATCTCAATATTTCTCACGATTTCGTATTGATTCTCTGACGTTATGTAGTGTATAAACAATAAGATAACTCGAGAAGGTACCTAACGATGGTTAATGAAGGCCTTTACATGTTGTTTTGCTTCACTTCTTTTCTTTCCCGCGTTATATTTCCCGCATTAATAAATAAAAGTATGAGAAAATTAGTGTTGACCGTGGTGACGAAAATTAGTGTTGACGTGTTGGGAAGAAATCTTTTTTTGGTTTTGACAAAGTCCAAAAAAATATGTGTAATGTAAGGCCCAATCTTCGAAGACCAACCACTTCTGGTCCGTAATAATTCCTACATGAGAAGTGAAAGCCATCATTTGACTTTCAAAATCAGTAATGGAATTTTTGGGCGACGGATTTCATTACCCGTGTTCACATAAAATAACATTAACCGCTTTTTGGTTTGTACCATCAAAATGTCGTGAGCCACATCTTTGTTTATTTGCCCTAAAATTACTTGATATCTACAGCAAATTTCAGAGAGAACATCATCAAAGACTAAAATGGGAAAGAATATATGAAAAGTGGAAATCTCTCCATTTCCAGGGACTTTCTCAATGGCTATATTTGTTCTCATCTTAGGTAAGCGAAGTGGAAGGGTAACTTCCAATGTTCAAGTACAAATAGTCCAAAGCTTCGACGAAGAAGGATCTAAGACGTAAATGCAAGCTAACTACACGTCACAAGGGTGGCTTGTTGATTGATACCTCGGGCCTGGTTGCATTCAATTCAGTCCTCAATCTGGTCTGAGATCTGTTACGTTCGATCGTTGAATTGCTCAGGGACAGGACTTAAAAAGACCTATTTTCCTTTTCCTTTACTGAAAAAATAAATATTGCTGATTTCCAAACACATACAATGTTGGAAGGTTGCTTTAAAGGATCATGGGGTACCATCATCAACCCTTCGCCATATTTTATCAAGCCGGCGATATTATTCAGCGGTGGAACGTGTTTGTTATATAACCGGTTACAATGTGGCTAAGGCAAAGAGGCCGCCGTAATAGATTATGCAATCTGAGGCACAAGGATGCATCAATGTCAAAGTTATCCAATTTAACAAAGGGTTATGAGATCAGTTTGAACGAAGACAAGTATCAGATTTGAATGCCACTATGCTAGTCTCGTTACCACCGACTTTCCGTGCTCAAATACATATCACATCCAAGACTGTTTCTTCGTCTCTTTTCAAGCGAAACGCTAAGTAGTTTTCCTGTATACCATAATAATCGAGTGCATGGTTACTAGAATCCAGTAGTCCTTTAAAACAACATAGGTTATTCTCAGACGGCTATTTTTTTGAGTACTTTCATCTCACATTGAGATAGTACTCGGAAGGTCTTCGAACTGGTTCCATCATTCGAAAACCAATAATTAATCTATGTTACATTTCAAACTTTGTAGACTAGCTATAGCTAGAAACACAAAGCAAGATTTGACATAGCCAATGAATGTCAAAGTTAACCACTGAACAAAATCACAGGCTTGATGTGATCAAAGATGGCTGGTTATCCTTTTTACTTGCATCAGTTTTCAGGGCTTCAAATAATCTTTTTGCCATCAACACATGTAAGTCGATAAGTATTACGCAGTACAAGATCAATAATTTTGATCAATCTTTCCAAGGCTCTCACTGCGTTTAATATTTCAACAAGGCAACGAAACAAATCGAATCTATTATATTTTTGGACGTAATGGCTACTTCCCTAACAAATGATGTCAGGCCAATAGTTGCAACTGAGGTATCACAGAGACATGAATGTATTATCAAGTTTCTTCCTTGCTTTCTTTCGTCAAAAAGTTTATCATCGATTGTTGCGTTTACTAAAAATTTAACCCAAATATGGCTGCAAAACATTTCTCAATAAGGGCTCAACTTGCGCTTTTCAAAGATATTCCCTCCTCGTTCAGGTGTAAATGACACTCTCTCGGAAATTTCATGTAAATTCAAGCTATTTTAAGTTAATAAAACAAAGATGGGGCTTACAGTATTTTGAGGAAACAGACCAAAAGCGGTTAGTCAGCACGGGTAATGAAATCCGTTTCCCAAAAATTGTATTTGTCGATTTTAGAAGGCAAATAATGCATTTCACTGCTCATTTAGGATTTTGATCAGAAGTGGTTGGTCATCAGGGATTGGACTTTGTCAAACCCAGGAAACGTCTACTTAAGGGAGAGGTAAGGGAAGAAAAACGATGAAAAAGTTGAAAATGTTCTTTGTTCCTGAAGATTGATAGATATAAAACACAACTCAGTTGATTGAATTTGCAGATGGCTTTTCGATTTGTCACAGCAGCAATCCAAAGTTAGCTTATTAATTATGCAAAACAGGCAATAGGGGTTTTCCAAGGGGGACCCTACATCTCCCGGGGAATTAAATGTTTTAAACTATTATTTTCACACATTCGTTAACTCATGATACCATGATACATAGCATTTGTACCAAGTGTGAGCTAAATCGGTGATTTGTGCATTATCGCCTGGTTCTGCACGGTTTTCTCGCGAACACGCTCTTAACGACCTATTAAATTCACGATGAACAAGTAAAATTTCCAGAGACCCTTGAAGAGATACATTGATCAGTTGTGCTGTTTGCTGACCTTAGCAATCTGCTGAACGTTGTTGAACCTATCGACGGCCCACACGTCAGAATAAAAACACCTAACGACAGTGCACCGGGTAATCTCAGTCAATACCATAAAAAGCTTCTTGCTACCAAAAAGCTCATAAAAAGCTTTTTGGTAGCAAAAAGCTTTCTATAAGCTTTGCATGTGG